CTGCGGATCCTCGGGTTAATGTAAGAGTTAACCCGGTGCTTGCCTTTCCCAGCGAGGTGTCTTCCTGTCCCGGAGCGGCGTGGCTCTCCAGCTCTGGACCCTTTCCGTCCCCCTGTTGGGTGCTTACCCACACGGTGTGCGATCATCCCGCCACCCTCTCCGTGCTCTCCACCGCTGCCTTGCCCCGGTGTCCAAACCGGGGCATTTGGGTTCAAACCCATCGGCAGCTGTCTCCAAGTTGGCTTATCACGACCTACCTCGATCTCGTGACCGCGGTAACTCCCGACCGCCAAACTCAGGATCCTCTCCTACACGGTGCTAGGGACCGTATATCCGTCGTTGTTGGGTGGTTTTTTCGAGGGTTAACTGCACTTGCGGGCCTCGGCCTCCCCCGGGGAGGGGAGGAGGGGGGAGGCGGAGAGAGTACAATGCACCGACGTATTCAGCACCGTACACAGGCACCGCAGGAGGGGGTCCAGCCCCCCCCTCCCATGTTACCCCGGTTGGGTCGTCTAGCTGGTAGAAGTGGAGGATAGGGGCCAGATGGGCAGGCAACAGAGTCCAATGATGGGAGAAAATAGTCTAACAAACAGGGTTATGAGTTGATGTATGCTTACGTGGCGTTTCATGGGCAGGCTGTGTGCACAGTAATCGGGGAAGGATGTTGTAGGGTGCCTGCAGACGTCAATGAAAACAATATTGATATTTGACATTCCATGGACGTCCATGGACACCGGAAAGACGCCGGTGGACACTGCCCGGTTGGGCCGTCTAGCTGGTAGAAGTGGAGGATAGGGGCCAGAGGGGGGCTCGTCTGAACCGTCTGCTCAATACAGATTTGGAGACCATCGACGTGTTGTATTTTCATCTGGTCAAATGACGTCATTTGATGTGAGATTTTGAAATATATTTTGAAGAAGTTTTCACTTGGTCAGGTGACGTCATTTGATCTCAGATTCGAAGATTTTGTTTCATCAGATTTTTTTTTTGGTCCGTGGACGTCCAGGGACTTGTCCACGGACATGTCCGTGGACATTGACTGGACGTGTCCACGGGCGTCCACGGACAATTGTTTGTTGTTTTTAACTTTCTCCCATCATTGGATTCTGTCGTCCACCCTTTGCACACGCGCTTTTGTTTTCGTACATTCTGCTGTCTACCCATCTGCCGCCTCATTGTCCTGTTTGCTCCGTTACTCCCATGCCCTGGTGCGTAGTGCCTGGTGCTGGTACGTTTCCCTTTGATTTTTTCTTTGGGCGGGTGTGGGAAGCGGCCTCCTTTATTTATTTTTTTGTTGAAGGTTGATGGGGCTCTTTTCTCGAACGGTTGGTGCGGTGGCGGCGGATATTCATATTAGCAACCACCCGCGGGTATGGTTATNATTTTTTTGTTGAAGGTTGATGGGGCTCTTTTCTCGAACGGTTGGTGCGGTGGCGGCGGATATTCATATTAGCAACCACCCGCGGGTATGGTTATGTGGTATTGGTTATGTGCCTGATCGTGGAAGACCCCTTCAATGTGGAACGATTCTTAGC